CCGCCCCACCCCCGACCTCTCTGCCGGCCAGCAGGAGCCCCCCGCCCTGCCTGCCATGAGCAGGGCTGGCACAGCGCCCAGCCCGCAGCCGGGGCTAGTGGCAGCAGCCGTGGGGCTGGGCGTGGTGGGAGGCTCTCTGTGCCCGCAGCCCCTGGGAGCTGGGGGAGGCCCTGCCCTGTGTGACAGCCCAGAGGAGGTGGATGGGCCCTGGAGCCCTGGGCTGGGTCCAGAGAGCAGTTGGAGGGAGCCAGGCCCATCTCTTTCCCCTCCCCAGAGTTGGGGGCCCCCCAATCTTCTGGGTGCAGCGCAGGCCGGCTCTGTTCTCCCCCAGCAGCTCCCAGCGCAGGCTGGGCTGCCTGGCATTGGCGGGGGCGGCCTCGCCGGGTTTGTGTCTCCTGATTGCTCTGCCCGGCAGCCGCCCATCCTTGGGGATGCCGGGGGAGCTCCGCAGAGGCTGAGCAGAATTTCATGGGACAGAAGGGAAAGGCCCTTCTGGAGCCGAGGGCACCCCTGCCCACTGGCACCGGCTGCTGCCAGCCCCACGTCCTCTCGAATGGCTGAGGGAGCTGCCACCTGCTCCCCCGTGCGGTCACCCCGAACAGCGGGGCTGTGCCCAGCCCCATGTCCCCAAGAGTGGGGGGGCAGTGCCCTGACCCCATTAACCCCGCCCTCCACTGCTCACCTGTATAGCCTGGGGCACACAGACAGACGATTTGATTGGTCTCCTTGTCGGCGTGGCAGGAGTTGCCATGGTAATGCCGAGTCCCAGGGTACCCAGGGCATGGGCAGGGCCGGCACTGCTGCCCGGAGCCCAGCACCGGGTCGCCATAGTAACCCTCCAAGCACCTGCCCACAGCACAGAGAGAGAAACCACCTCGCTTCTCCCCCGCCTCTGCCCCCCATCCCCCCCGCCAGCCCTCCCTGCTGCCCCCTAGTCCCAGCCCCAGCTGCTGACCTCTGGACACAACATATCCATGGCCAGGCCCCCCACCGCTGATCCTCGTCTCCACGGCCAGCCCTCCCTCCCCCGAGCTAGCCCACACTCTGGCTGCCCCCCAGCCAGCCCCCCACGCTGTCCTCCATTGCATCTTCACCACCCAGCCCTCAAGAGCTGTGCCCTGCCCCGTGGGGCCCACACACCCACCTCTCACAGTGGCGTCCCGTGGTGGCATCGCGGCACTGCTGGCAGGCCCCAGTGTGGGTGTCGCACTCCTCCGAGTGCCCGTTGCAGTGGCAGGGCCGGCAGGCCGGAAAGCCCCACTGGCCCGGCAAGCACTGGTTGCACCGGCGCCCCATGGCCCCGTGCTGGCATCGGCACTGCCCGCTCACAGGGTCGCAGAGCTCGGAGACCGAGCCCTCGGGGGAGCAGGCACAGCCTGTGGGACAGGCGGGTGGGGCGTCACCCAGCTGGGCAGACAGAGGGACAGCAAGCATGCCCAGAGCACCACGTACCCAGACTGACGCACACAGACGGGGCCGATGCCTG